ACAGAGCTAAAATGATTTCATCATCGTCGTCGTCGTCTTCATCATCATCATTATCATCACTATTCTTATTTTAATCATCATCATCAACGTCACCACCATCGTCATCATCCTCCCCTCAACCATCATTATCACCACCACAACCATCATCATTATCATCATCATCATTATCTTTCACTTACCTGTAGTTTTAGCAAAGGTATAGAATGAATTTATGGCTTCATCATTATCTTGAAAGATTTGGTAGATTGATGGTGAAGACAACGACGATAATAATGATAATAAAATGATGACTTTTATTTTAGGGCACTCCATACTTTTGAGATAAAGCCAACAATGGTCCGAGTGATTTATGGAAATAATTAACTATTTTTCAATTAATTTCGTTAAAGATTTACAAAGAAATTAATTGATAAATTGGAAGAAAAATAGCTTTTCCACAAATCAATCAATTAAGCAATCAATCAACTAACCAATCAGCAAACCAACCAACTATCCAACCCACCAACCAACCAACTATCCAACGAAACAACCAATGGATCTGCAATCAATCAATCAATCAATCAATCAATCAATCAATCAATCAATCAATCAATCAATCAATCAATCAATCAATCAATCAATCAATCAATCAATCAATCAATCAATCAATCAATCAATCAATCAATCAATCAATCAATCAATCAATCAATCAATCAATCAATCAATCAATCGTTCATTTTATCAACCAATCAATTAATCAACCACTCCATTCGTCAACCAGTCGATCTTTCTTTACAGCCAAATAACAAACCTTAAGCCTCCAAATATTCAAGTGGTTTTATATCAAAAGATTTGTAAGATCGATTTCTATTCACAATTTATTTATCAATTTTTTCAAATATTATTATCACCGCTATAATTCAACAATTTAAATAAATCAGTTTTAATTATATGTGGTTCCTTGTTATGAAAAAATAAAAGAACAAACAAATGAATGAATGAACGAACGAATGAAGAGACGAATGAACGAATTAATAAACGATTAAATAGATGAACTAACGAGCCAATGAACCAACGAATGGATGAATATGCATATAGAATGAATGAAAAGATAGATGAATGAATGAATGAGTGTATGAATGAATGAAAGAATAAATAAATGTTTCATTGTTCTATTTTCATTGTCATTATCATTATTATTTTGATGTTATTATTATTATTATTTTTTATCAAAATTTTTTACTGTATAATTCATTGCATGGTCTCAAATATCGGTTTGTTATACTTATTAATGATTGTATTATTATTATTATTATTATTATTATTATTATTGATGTTTACTATGTTACAAAAAAGCAAACATTTGTTCCTTGATTCAGGTGTGTCAGAACCAAAGAAGCAAATTTTATTTACGTTTAAATTCATTGCAAATTATTTTAAACTTAATTAAATTAATTAATTAATTATATTCGCACCTGTAAATTTGTATTAAATTAAATTAAATTAAATTAAATTTTTTATTGTTTGTTTATAATGAAATTTTTAATGAATTAAATCGTGATTTTGATGTGTTTGGGGGATCTATTTGGCCGTTTTTATTGAGATTTATGTAATATTCAAGTATTCTTTTTAGCTTTATATTAACTTATTATTATATTGAGAGTTATTTAAAGTATAATAATGGCATAAAATAACATCTTCCGATAACAAAATTAAATTTATTTGTTCATTTTATTTCATAATTATGAAAAATTCAATAACTATACTAAAATAATATCATAAATATCTCCTTTTTTCATGTATTTCACGAGTAAACCGAGCAATTTGTGAAGTTTTATTACAGCAGAAAGTTTGTTAAAACATAAATTAACTTTTCATTTGAATTAACTTTTAAACAAAATTCAAAGCACTTGCTGAATAGCTAATTTCTTCTTGAAAATTTGCCCAAATTGTTCATTATCGTCTTAATTAGGCACAAATTTCATTGTCATTTATTCAATTATGATAACTGGAAAATGAAAAATTGTTTAAAATGAATGACCTTTTTAATTTTTTCGTAAATGTTTAAAAAATGTAACTTCACCACATCAGTCTTCTCAACTTGTGCAACTTAATCAAAGTTGCAAATGCTCTAACTAAAAATTGCGGAAAGTAAACCTTCCTTCAACATTACCGTAATGGCGTTTTCAATGTCATTCTCGCCGAGAGCGCTACTCTGGCTGTCTAGATTAGGACTGGCCTACGTGGTGTTATTCATCTGCCTGATATTTTTCACCGGCGTCTCGGTCATCATTCCCCAATTGTACGGAAACTCGCTAATCCATTACGTCATCGGCGTCTACATCTTCATCGGGGTGTCGGTCAATTTGTTCTACTGCTACCGTTTCAACAGTTTCATAGAGAAGAAGGAGAAGCAAGCAGAGAAGGATTTGTCATCAGTTTCAAGCGCCAGCACCACTCATTCACATGATTCTACTACTAATTCGTCTGGGTGTTCGACAAAAGATTCAGTCGATCATCATGTAGATGGCGTAGTTCCATCCAGTGGCCACAGCAAAAGTCATTGCGATGTCTGCAACATAGAAATGCCCCATAGATCTCATCATTGCATACTCTGCCAGAGGTGTGTCCTTGTAAGAGAGCACCATTGTTTCTTCATCGGCTCTTGCATTGGACAAAAGAATTTAAAATACTTCATAATATTTCTCTTTCATCTCTCATTCGGTTGCATGTATGCACTCTGCTTGAATTACAAGTACCTGACAATGAACTACGTCTGTCCGATCTCATGGAACTTCTTCGAATTTTTCCCGCCAATAACTCTCATAGAAATTTTATTAGACTACAGGACATGGACTTTTGGTTATTATGTCTTGGGTCTGTATGTCACCCTAACTGGTTTCATTGGATCGACATTCGGCTACGTATGGTATTTCCTATTAGTATTAATGGGTATTACATCTCATGAGTATTATACAAAATCGTCGAGGTCGAAATTTGGAAAGTATTACAATTTTAAAATGGTATTTGGTAGGTATTGGTACATAACTATACCGTGCCCGCTGCCAGTTTTTGAAGATGCTCATTCGAAATTTGATGTGAAACTCGTTTAGTCGATGATGTTTTTGGGAAAGTTTGACGAACTGCATGCTGAATTTGTTTAATAGTCATTTTTTATCCTATTTGTAATTTCGCATCCTATATTTATTCTCCTCAATTATGAACAAAGTTTTTTCAATTTATAAAATTTTTTTTAATATACTCAAAGACCATCCAATCGTTGACCAATATCATCTTAATCAAATTAATTAATTAATTAATTTGAATTTTGATTAGAGAAACAATGATTAGATAAACAACGAAAATGCAATAACAGTTCTAAGAAGGCAATTATGTAACCAATGGTATTAAGACATTTTAACACACACACACACATACGTGTACACACATGTTTGTGTATATCTAGACATTTTAACACACACACACATACGTACGTACACACACATGATTGTGTATATCTAGACATTTTAACACACACACACACATGTTTGTGTATATCTAGTATATATCTATACCAATAACATTTAACATGTACCAATAACGCATATATTTACGATATTTATTAGCCAGAACATTAGATATATAGAAAATGTCTTTTATTTCATTTAAAGAAATTTTATCGAACATTAATTTAATTTCAATTTCTCTTATTTAAGCGTGGGTTGTCCCAGGGAATTTTAAATTAAAGGCGTTTGAACGAAAAGTACAAGTAAAACACACACTCACACATACACACACTCACACATACACACACTCATCCACACAAACACACGCATACATATCTGTTGGGGTATTCATAATCGTTAACGAATGTAATCCTATTATTAATCCTTGAAGTTATGTACAATTGTAAAGTTCGTAATATTATGTATACATTTATCCACGTGTATATGTGTGTGTATACATATCTATATGTGTGTGTTTGTGTGTGTGTTTGTGAGTGTGTGTGCGTGTTTAACAACAGAATACAGAAATAGGCAGATTAGTTTAATATGTAACAGAGAGAAAATAAAAACACATTGTATCAATTATCAATTATCTAATTACAAATTATCCAGCCAATTATCCAATTACAAATTATCCAATCAATTATCTAATTACAAATTATCCAGCCAATTATCCAATTACAAATTATCCAATCAATTATCTAATTACAAATTATCCGGCTAATTATCCAATTACAAATTATCCAATCAATTATCTAATTACAAATTATCCAATCAATTATCCAATTACAAATTATCCAGCCAATTATCTAATTACAAATTATCCAGCCAATTAACCAATTACAAATTATCCAACCAATTATCTAATTACAAATTATCCAACCAATTATTCAGCCATTTATCCAATTACAAACTATCCAAACAATTATCCAATTACAAATTTTCCAACCAATTATCCAGCCAATTAACCAATTACTTATTATCCAACCAATTATCCAGCCAATTATCCAATTACAAACTATCCGACCAATCAGACGAAGGTACTACAATCCGGCTGTGGGCTGTTGCCACTTCCGCCAACAACGCCATCTTGCTCTATGTAAGTCTTCTCACTGTTTATCCTGGCCACTAGGTTCATCTTGTTCCTGGTGATGGCGAGAGGACGATGATGAGGATGATGATGAGGATGATGATGAAGATGAAAACGGAGATGAAGACGACGATAGAGATGATGATGATTATTATTATTGTGAAGACGTTGGTGTATTAAACAGTTACCATCATCATCTTTAACATCATCATCATCACTCCAGACATCATCATCATCGTCGTCGTGATCATCATCATCATCATTACCTCAGTTCCTTGATGATGCTCAAATTTTCTTCAGCCAATGGCAAGATGTCCTTCTTAATATCAGGCGAGTTGTTGAAACTGTAATGATGACGACAATGATGATGATGATGACGGCGTAATAGCTTAATAGTTAAAGACGCCTAGTTTTGCTGTTGTGTTGCAGTGCCTGGATTCGAATGCGAAGAGATCCCGGTCTGCCTAATCGTATGCAATGTGTGTGATACGTGCGACCCGATTACGTGTGCGTGCGTGCTTGTGTTTTTCGTTGAACACTCTGAAACAGTAGAGAAATAGAGAATGACCTTGGACCTCTTAATGATACCAATATATTATGATGATAGTAGTAACAACAATAATAATAATAACCATCACCACATCGCTGAGTTAACTTGTTAAGTTGAATATGGTGGATGCAAAGCAGTTAAGCATTTGAACCAGAAATTATGCAATAATAATAATAACCATAATATTCATAATAAAACAACAACGCCAATCATAATAATAACAATAATAATAACAATAATAATAATAATGAGACGAAAAGGCCGACGTGATAGAGAGCATCTTTCGCATTAGTGACTTCTCCAGGTTGCTCTTACTGTGAACTTTCTTCAATTTCGCGGACGACGTTGAGGAGTGGTTGTTGTTGTTCGGGGGGGTGGATGGGGACGAAGGGTTGTCCATGGCCTCGCTGATATCATTTGTGGAGTCTGTGTGTGTGTATGTTTGTTTGTGTGCGTGCGTGTGTGTGTGTGTAGCACAGACAAAAAAAACGAAATACAATCAAGCATTATATTCTGAGCAACCGATCTGCAATTTTTCCTACTCAGCATCTAGAGTATCAGATTGGTGCAATGAATTGAATTCAAGTAGCTGGGAAGCTCTCTATAATTATGATGAGGTACACTCCGTGTTCGGTCATTTCATTGAATATTTCTCAACTTGATTTAGAAAATGCTGCAAGATCACCAGCAGAAGAAAAATACAAAAACTGAAAAAACAAAATTCTTGAGTTACCAACGAATTCAAAAAATTTACCGGCAAGAGAAACAGTTTGTATAAAAAATTTCCCCATTCGCCAACAAATCAAAATTATGACAAATTCAAGCCAACGCAAAAAGCTTGTAGCTACTTGAAGAATAAATTGAAACGTGACTACTTCCACTGCACTCTCGAAGCCAACAAATCCGAGGGTAGACGAACTTGGAGATCACTTAATAATCCCATTAACGAAGGCAGCAGTACAACTACCTCATAGTGACGACCGAAAATCAACCACTCGATCAACCGGGAGAAAGTTTCAATCAGTATTTCAAAAGCATTGCGGTTCAATTATCAAAGGCATTCCTCCTTAAAACAGGCGCAATGGATTGTCAGTAATTCATTGCCGAAGAGTTTTTTCCTTGAAGATGTAGCAGCTGAAGAAATTGTCTTTGAAGCTAAAGTCCTCAAGTGGTTTTGATAACATTTCAATAAAAATTGCAATTGCAACGATTAAATCAACAGAGTTGGATTGCCTAGAGGATTGGTATATTAGTTGCTGAACATTTTTGTTTAATCTAAGAACATTTCTGTCTAGGTGTCCGTGCCAGATGAATTTTTTCTATAAATTTTTTTATGGTCATCCTGCTTTTTTTTATAATTTTGAATCTTGAGAAGCAAATAAATTTTCGCTTCGTGTGTATGTTTGTGTGCGTGTGTGCGTGCGTGCGTGTGTGTGTGTGGAGTGAATGATAATAATAATATTATTATTTTTTTGTTACTTCATCGTCATCAGCTCTTACCGGGTCTCTTCAAAAATGACTTTCTCCTTGAATCGCTCTGCAAAGATGAAGTTGATGACGATGATGATAAGGATGATGATGATGGCGGTTATAACGTGATGATGATGATAGTGGTGACGATGACGATGGTTAGGAAGCTATGATGATGATGTATTGATAATAATAATAACAATAATAATAATAATGTGATTGATAATAATAAATTATTGCATTGCAACTGCTGATAAATAAGAACAACAACAAAAATTCAACCACCACTATCATCATCACCGTCATCATCATCGTCATCATCATCACCATCATCATCATCATCATCTTAAACATCATCATCATCTTTCATCATCATCATCACTACTTACGGTATTGAAATTTTGGCTGAGTACTTTGAACTGTCTGCTCGAAGACTCCAACCCCTGTTCTAATTTGTCGAGGTTTTCCATGACCTGCCACGATTGGCTGGTAGTAGAGAATGGCGTGATTTGATTGGTTGTGGCGTTTAAAAAAAGATGAAATGATGATATTTCATTGGTCGTCGCGTTGAAATGGTGTGATTATATTGGTTGTCATCATCTTCATCATCATCATCATCATCATCATCGTCGTCTTCGTCATCATCGTCGTCGTCATCATCATCATCGTCATTATCTTCACCATCATCATCAACTTCACCATCATCGTCATTATCGTCTTCATCATCGTCATCTTCCTACTTACCACATGAACTCTCTGAAGAGTTTAAAAAGTTCGCCCGTGTTTTTTTGGCAATGCTGCTCGATCAGAGTTTTGGCCGTTAGGCAGTGGTTGGAAATCGTGCGTCTGCCATTTTTTATGAGGTCGTCATCATCATCTCCACCATCAGCACCACCATCACGAATATAGCCATCATCACAATCCCCATCATCATCATCATCATCATTTTCCAAATCATCGTCATCACCCACAGCCACCATCATCATCGTAACCTATTGAGTTCACTCTTCTTGGACATGGTACCACTCAGTCCTCTCTCTGGAACCCTTTCTCTCTTGCAGCCACTCTCTATCTCCTCCACATCTCTCACCATCATGTCCATACGCGTCGAACTGCATTATCATCGTTATTATTATTAACATTACCACCAATACTACTACTACTGCTACCACTACTACTTATACTACTACTACTACTATACTATTACTCTACTACTTATACTACTACTACTACTACTCTACTACTTATACTACTACTACTACTACTATTACTACTACTACTACCGCTACTACTACTACTACTTATACTACCGCTACTACTACTACTACTATCGTTTCTTTGCTTTTATTCATTTTGCATTCTCTCTCTCTCTCTCTTTCTTTTTTTCTTTCTCTCTCTCTCTCACTCCCTCACTCCCCACTCTAACCAACCAGCAATCCTCTTCCTTGCATGCAGGCCTCTCCACCATCCACACGTCCACACACTTCTTCATCATCTCCTCCGTGTTATGTGATGTGCAGGTCAGCTCCTGGATCTCACTGGACAGCTATTTGTGTGTGCACGTGTGTGTGTCTGTGTGTATAGTCTGGTCTGTGTGTGTTTGTGTAGGTGTAAGAGAGAGATAAAGATAGAGAGAGAAAGAGAGAGAGAGAGAGATGATTGGATTATAACTTGAAAGTGAAGTAAATTAATTGATAGCAGATAAGAGAGCATACAAGAAGGTAAACAAACAGACAAACAAACAAATGTTATAACACCAACAGCCATCTCAATTGACATCATCACCATCATCATCACCACAAAAACATCACAATCATAATCACCATCGTCAACAGCCCTCACAATCGTCATCACCATCCACCAAACATCACAATCGTCATCATGACCAACTCGGTTGATGAAGTTCCTCTGCCTTTCGTACGTGACCCTACCACTGTTCAGGGAATCAATAGACTGATTGTGATTGGTTCCGTTATTGAGTGCCTCCATGCAACTGACCAATAGGGAAGAGGTCTGCAGACGGTCTGAATATGATTGGTGCATGTCGGTCACGTGCTCCTTTCTGGTCGCCATGTTGTCGAACTTTCTGGTTAGGTAGTGCCTGGGGGATTTCAAATTTGGTTGTTGGCGGTTTTGTGACGAGTGTGTTTGTCTGTGTGTGTTTGTCTGTGTGTGTTTGTTTGTTTGTGTTTGTCTGTGTGTATGTTTGTCTGTGTAGGTTTGTTTGTTTGTGTGTGTTTGTTAGTGTGTGTCGTTCTGTGTGTGTTTATCTGCGTTTGCCTGTCTGTGAGCACACACCTGAAAAAACATAAACATACACTCAAACAAACGCACGGACACAAACAAACAGAGGTATACAAACACAACCACATACAAACAAACAAACATACACAAACATACATACACAAACATAATGGCTCCGGCATTAATGCACTTCTGTCTGAGCAACAGTGCATTAATGCACCTCCTAAAATAATTCAACGATTCATTGGCCGCCATTGCAAGACCTTTCAAGCTTGAATTCTTCAAGTCGGGCAAACCATCTGATTGGTTAGTTGATTGGTTGATTGATTGATTGGTTGGTTGATTGATTGGTTGATTGAGTAACTGATTAGTTGGGTAAATTATTGATTGAATGGTCGGCTAATTGACATATTGAATGATTGGTTTATTATGGCTGGTTGATTGATTTATGGAATCATTGTTAAACATCATTCAACCAACCAACCAACCAGTCAACCAACCAACCAACCAATCAACCATCCATCCAACCATCCAATCAACCAACTAACCAACCAACCACCCGACTAACACTTCCTATTATCAAGAGAACTTTCCATGGACATGCTGGATGGATTGGAGAAGGAATACACCGGACTGCTGGCTTCAATCCTGTTAAATCCTGTAGGAGTGAAAGTTCATTCATTGATCGGTTGGTTGGTTGATGGTTGGTTGGTTGGTTGATGGTTGATTGGTTGGTTGGTTGGTTAGTTGGTTGGCTGGTTGGTTGATTTGTTGACTTAATGATTAGTATTTGAATGGCTGAATGAATGACTTATTAGTTGATTGGTTGGTTGATAATTTAAAAATTGTACTAAAAATTTGATTAACCTGAATTAATGAATGAATGCATGAATAAATGAATAAATGAATGAATGAATGAATGAATGAATAAATGAATGAATGAATGAACGAATGAATGAACGGAAGAACGAATGAAACCTGATAGTTTGTTGTCCTGCCCAAACTGCACGGAGAAGTTCAAATTCTCGAAGAGGAGCATCTGATCGTTTGGCGGGGAGTGGGGGCATTGTTCGTGTAGGAGGCTCTGGAAGGTTTCGAAACTGCGTGGGAGTTGGACGACGATGATGATGATGATGATGTTATGATGATAATGATGACGATGATGATGATAATGATGACGATGATAATGTTATGATGACGATGATGATGATGTTACGACGATGATGATGATGTTATGATGATAATGATGACGATGATGATGTTATGATGATGATGACGTTATGAAGATGACGATGATGTTCTTGTGATCTCGATGATGATGATGATATGATGATGACGACGACGATGATGATGGTGTTACAATGATTATGATAATGATGGTCTTGCGGTTACGATGATGATGATGACGTAATTAGTGACGTAGTGGTTGTAACTGTTACATTTGTTTGTCGGTAAAAATGTAACCGGCGGATTACAATACAATTATTAAGAATACTAAAAATAATTAATTAATTAATAATTAATAATAATAATTATTATTATTATAAAGATAATTATTATTATTATTTTTATACTTGTCGTCTGGATTGATGTAAACTTTGCAAATGTCCGTCGTAAAGCTATCAAACACGGAGACCAGCTATTTTTGGCAAGTAAGTTTTAGAAGTTGGCTAGCAACATAATTTAATAATTATCTTATAAATATAAATAAATATAAATAAATAAATAAAAATAAATATAAATAAATAATGGGCTTAAACCTAAGTTATATATGACCATATCAGAAAAAGCATTAAAAGACAACAAAAAGCAATCAAACAACATTGTCAATTTTATGATCATAGAAAAATTCTTTGTTGCCCATATATAAGTCAAAATTCTTCTTGAAGCTGGAAACATGTCGGTGAATTGTAAGAGTAGATAATTATTTTATCACATAACTAGCTAACTTTCTTTTTTTATTATTTGTTATAATATTAATTTATTCGTTTGTTCGTTTTTTTATTCGTGAAATAGTTCGTTCGTTAGTTCATTCATTCGTTTATTCATCCATCCGACAGTTGTTTGTTTAATTGTGTATTCATTCATTCATTCGATCGTTAGTTCATTCATTCGTTCGTTCATTCACCCATTCACCCAGTTGTTTGTTTAACTGTGCATTCATTCATTCATTCGTTCATTTGTTCGTTTGTTCATTCATACATTGGCGTTTTTGTTTATTTATAATCCTTTAAAACAATCAACTAACTAGCCAGTCAACGAATTAACTAATCAGCAAACTCCCCCTTTAGACAACTGACCAAGTAACCAGCCGTCCTCCCATCAATTAACAATCAACCAGCCCACAAACAAACAGACAGGCAGACAGACAGACAGACAGACAGACAGACAGACAGACAGACAGACAGACAAACAAACAGACAGACAGACAGACAGACAGACCTTCTTTTTAACAATACACTCAGCCATCACGAAGAACTTCTCAAACGACATGGTCTTTTCTTTATCCGCCTCCAACAAGTGGGCCAACAATTCCTCAACTGGAGGTCTCAAGCCCCTGCAATGTCAAGGTCGAGTGTACTTTGAACGCAATGTCAAGGTCATATATTATTTTGAAGTAATGTCAATAACCTGGATAGCAGGCAATTTTTAGGTAGGTGCTTATCGTAGACGATTGGCCCATTCGGTTTTGATTGGATGCCCGAAATGTCACCTGATTCCTTATTGGCTATTATCTTATACCTGTTCAAGGATGCAGTGATTTCATTGGTCGATACTTGGGCACATATAGACATACACACACAAACTCATATCATACACATATCTACTTACATGCGCAAACACACATACAAACACATAAAAACACACACATACACGCGCACACACAAACACACACACACACACGCACATACATACACACACACAAAAAAAAACACACACACACAAAACACACACACGCACAAACACACACGCACATACATATACACACACACACACAAAACACACACACACAAAAACACACACGCACACACGCACATAGTATTCTTATCCCTCCTCCCATGGTAGGCTTGGAAGGGCAGTTGACCGGCGGCGACGTGGTAGAGGGTGGCCCCGATGCTCCACAAGTCGACCGACCCGGTGAAGGTTGAGGTGGATCCACGGTCCATGAAGGCCTTTTCGTAGAGGCCCGGGTCCTTTAGGAACATTCGATGGATGTTTTTTTTTTTGTTGTTGTTTAATCGACTCAGTTCAATTTTTTGTGTGTGATTTATTGAGAGGCAGTGTAAAGAAAGCCGGTGATAAAAGTTTCACGATGGGAAATAAACGCTGCAACATGAACATACAAACAACCAAACAAACAAAGACAGGTAAACGAACAAACGAACAGACAATCAATCAGACTGAGACACAGACAGACAGACAAAAACAGACAAAGACAAACAAGCAGGCATACGTACCAGGTACTCATCGGTGCCATAGATGGATTGAAACTCCTCCTCCGTGTGAAGTTCCCTGGCAGCCCCAAAGTCAATCAATTTGTAGATCGGCCTGGCAATGGCGGTACATAATTTATGCATAATTATATCTTGCGTATTGATTTGCATAATTTACACGTTACACGCTAACGAAACTGATGCAAAAAAACCCGGAAGAAAATATTTTTCTTTATAAGACAGCGTAAAAATTGAGGAATTATAACGCAAGGTGATGATAGCACCTGCCATCAGATCCAATGTATCTCATGATGTTTCCAGGTTTGATATCTCGGTGAGTCATGTTCTTCGCTTTCACCTCTTTCATTCCGGAAGCTTGGTTGGTCGGTCGGTTGATTGATTGGTTGATTAGTTGGTTGATTGGTTGGTTGATTTATTGGTTGGTTAGTTTATTGATTGGTTGATTGATTGGTTGGTTAAATAATTGGTTAATGAATTGATTTACTGGTTGAACAACATACTTTTGTTCAAGGTCAGTTGACTGATTCGTTGATTGATTGATTGATTGATTGATTGATAAATCAAAGATAAAATTATCACTAAATCAAAAAACAACCAGCCATCCATTCAAACCAACCAACCAACCATCAATCTATCAACCAACCAATTCCATGCAGAACCTTGAGAAACTCCTCATCATGCAGCCCAAAAACATTTTCCGGTTTTGTGATGATGTCATAGAGGTTGCCGCCAGAACACAACTCCATAACTATCACCTTCTTGCCAGGCTAATTAAAATGTCAATCATCCAATTATTAAACCAACCAACCCACCAAACCAATCAACCAACCAACCAGCATTTCCCATGATCTAATTAACATAAAACTAATAAGCATAACTCCGCCCAAAACCTTGTTGATTTCATTTTCGACGGCTATCAGCTTGACAATGTTTGGATGGTTGAGTTTTCTGAGAACTTCGAGTTCTCGCTCCTGTAGGTTGATGAGGTGGTCGGTCGTGTTCTTGTCGAACCTCTTCATCACCTTCACTGCTACCTGCTCTCCTGTTTTCTGGACGGGTGCGGGTGTATGTGTGTGTGTGTACGTGTGTATGAGTGTATTGTGTTTGTTTGTGTGTTTGCATTTGTCAGTGCACAATATCAAACAATAACTAAACCACCAAAACCTGAACAGAAACACATAAATAAACGAAGACAGAAGAGAAAAAAAAAGTGTAGAAACCTACCACACATTGGCCCTTGTAAACTTCTCCCACAGCTCCAACCCCCAACAACTCGTCATCGTACCAAACGAAATTTTCTGACTGACATACTGACGATGAATGACTCATTGATCCAGGACTAAAGAAAACAATTAAATATATATATATAAAATTCCCGAATATATCGCTCAGAATGCCTGGACTAAAGCTTGATGATTTTAAGAAGAACTTAAATACATATTTATTTTTGACATAGAAATACTTTATCGATTTGTACTTTATTGACCTTCACTGATTTCATTTATAATAGATAGCGCTTTCGAGAAATTTTAATTTTATAATGCGTTTAATAAATTGTTGATAATAATAATAATAATAATATATACATATGTTTGTTTATATAAATGGCTGACGGTATAATGGTTAAGGTGCATGACAGTGTTGTTGCAGTGACCTGGTCCAAAAGCAAATAAATTCCTGCCTATCCTGAGGGTTATTTACTATTGTGAGTTTTTTATATTATGAAGATGGAAAAAGAAGATCTCTACAACTTCTCAAACAAGAAATGTTGGTGTTTAAACTTAAAACTTTAAATTTGTTTAAAAGGATTAATTAATACTCTAGTCTAGTACTTAATTAACTTGTTAAACAAGATATAAATATAATTCATTATTAAATTAAATTTGTTTTTCATCAATTTATATAATTAATCGGGCTATTTAATTATTATTCTGTTCTAACAACTCAACAAAAGACAACTGATTTCATTTTTAAATCTTTTTTTATTTATTTAAAAAAAAATATGGCAAAGATTGAAAAAAGATAGCAAGCAAGACTCACCTTAGATCACCGCCTTTCAACAATTAATGACCTTTCCAACTAATTAATTAATTAATATAATTTATTAACTATAACTATTATTGTTAAATAATATTTTAAAATTATTTCATCGTAATGTAAAGAAAGAAGCTAACATAATTTATTCTTTTTACTAAATTGGAAAAACCCAAAATTGAAATTTCCAAAATCATGAATGGACTTTTTGCTTGAAATTAGTTCGATGTCGGACGTTTTTCTTTCAAACTGTTATCTTTTTTGGATTCATAAAATCCGTTTAATACTGTGAACTTACGCAAAATTCTTTTTTAAAATTAAGATATTGTAAAAACACTATGTCAAAATAATCAATTAATATGCAAATTTAGTGTAAAAAAGCGAAGGAACTGTTTGTTTAAAGTCCAAGTTTAGCGTGCCTTGCCGAATCAAGATACTAAACCATGGGTATATATAATATCCATGTACTAAACATTAAAACGTCCGAACCTTCCATTACTAAAGAATATTGAGTGCTACATGAATCAAGTAACCGTAACCCTAACTCTAACTACCAGCCTAATTCTCTTTTTCAGTGACAAACTACCAGCCTAATTGACACTATAGAGCTAGTTCAGAAACACATACGGACAGCTTTTTGGCTGATTCAAGATATTATAGATCAAAAAACGTTTGGATTTCCAAATGGTACATTTTTCATACTTGGGAAATTGAGTAGCACACGAATCTAGTAACAAACTACCAGCCCACATTTCAAAAAATTGAACTATAAAGCATGTCCAATATTACAAATATATAACTTATCATTTATAATTAAATCATTAATTACTTTGATAATTTAAATTGAACATTTGTGAAAAATAAGATTCATTCGCGTACTAGTTTAACTTTAATTAAACAAAAAGGTCAATTATTAATAATTCGACAGTGAAATTTATCTTGAATTATATATCAAAGTATAACGCTTAGCAGCTAACAACACTTTTCAGTTTGTGTGTGGAAGTTCTAAGTATAAGAAATGTGTAAATGTCATGAGCAGTTCTCGTCTTAAATATTAAACTCGTCAAAACATTATATGTAATAATCTGTCAATGTTACGTTAGTATATCAGCTGTTAATCAATCAATTAATTAATTTATTCACTCAATTAATTACTCACTCACTCACTCACTCACTCACTCACTCACTCACTCACTCACTCACTCACTCACTCACTCACTCACTCACTCACTCACTCACTCACTCACTCACTCACTCACTCACTCACTCACTCACTCACTCACTCACTCACTCACTCACTCACTCACTCACTCACTCACTCACTCACTCACTCACTCACTCACTCACTCACTCACTCACTCACTCACTCACTCACTCACTCACTCACTCACTCACTACTCACTCACTCAACCAATCAATTAATCAACAACAACTCATTCAGTCACGTTATCAACCAATCAATCAATCAAACGATTGACGATTAACATCTGATATTCAGACCGGATAAAACGTGACACCTACTGAGATGGTACCTGAAGGAACCTTTCGAAATAAACGTCCTACCGCATGCAAAGCACCTTTTATCGTTGTTCATCTTGAACCAGACACTACTCCTCCTCCTCCTTCTCTCCTCCACGCAATTAGGGATGTCAATATTTTTATCCGGATTTGGCGATGAGTCGGTTTGTATCGGATACTTCATCCCGACAACTTTCGAATAAATTGCACAATCCCTCACTTGCGATTTCAACTTTTTAGGTTTCGGTCTGTAAATTTTATCACCCATCTCCTCTTCAGGGATTCTTTCGAAAATCGACGATGCGCTCTGCCGATATTCGGGTGAATAAAAATCGGGCGGTAACCGAATCGGTTTTACGCAATGCATCCCTGGATGCACTGGTGCGTATGTACACAGCCCACTAAACATAAAAGGGGCTGGTCCACGAAACGTGGAGGAAGGCCCGCTAAAAATTTGGGGCACAAACCCTCTTCCGGTATGTAAAATTTGAAGGGGTGAAGCTTTCGTGGAAAAATTTGTTGGTGGTATTGGTGTGTTTGATGGTTGTTGGCTGAAAGAGTAGTGTTGCCGGATGAATGGAGTGTAAAAATTTGGAGTAAAGGAATGAAGACTGATTTGTTGGCGTTGTTGTTGTAGTTCATACGCTGATTGGTGGGTTGGGGTGTGGTGAATGACTGACGGAGGGTGCAGGTAGGGGCTGAAGGATGAAGTAAGGTTGAAGGGCACATTATCTGTCGGGTCATTTTTAGATTCATTTGTCGTTTTACTTGACGGCTTTTGTTTAACTTGGTGCGGTTTGTGTTCGAAGGTTGTGATTGGTTCGTTCGGCAATGACGTCATCGTCACGATTTTGTTGTTGTCGTTGTCGTCGTCGTTGTTGTTGTTGCAATTTAAAGAAGAACAATCTGTTCTTTTACTGGTTTTGTTGTTGTTGTTGTTACTATTGATGTTGTTGACGTTGTTGTTGTTGTGGTTGTTGTTGTTTTTGTAGTTGTTGTTAATGTTGTTAAAATCTTTTTGAGACGTCATCATTTTACCGTTAAAAAATCTACTCACAAAGTTTTTAACATCAGCTAAGAAGATCAGCTGTGATAAAGGTGACGACGATGACGACGACGATGATGATAATGATGTTGTTGTTGATGATGATAATGATGTTGTTGTTGATGATGATAATGATGTTGTCGTTGATGATGATAATGATGTTGTCGTTGATGATGATAATGATGTTGTCGTTGATGACGATTTTGATGACGTCATTAATGACGCAGACGAGTCGTTTTGTTCTGTCGATATGAACTTAGATGATGACGAACGTGACGACGACGATGATGATGATGATACTAATGATGATGATGATGATGATGATGATGATGATGATGATGATGATGATGATGATGATGATACTAATGATGATGATGATACTAATGATGATGATGATACTAATGATGATGATGATACTAATGATGATGATGATGATGAAGATGATGATGATGATGATGTCGAAAAAATCTCATTGCAATAACTGTATACAATCTTTCGAACACTCAGATCCAAGACAACATCCTCATCAACAGCATCATTAAATTTATTATTATTATCATTAATATTATTATAATTATTATAATTAATATAATTATAATTATTATTATT